CAACAATTAAGAGAAGGCTTACCACCCCACCCCCCCAATTTCTTTTTCAACAGTAACAACAATTTAACATTTTTAGGAAGTAACTACCTAAATTTTCTCGATTTATGTATGCATTTATTTTGTGCACTAAAATTAAAACACAGATCAACAAATACTGAATCCCTGCATGTCGTTATCAGCAATAATGTTTAACCGAATGTATTCTATCTGAATATATAGGCTGTCCACAAGGTTTAGGAGTGTTTCTGGGGATTTTTGAACCAATCTTTCAGAAGCACAATCTTTCAGAAACACATCTGTGAGGTCACATACTGATGTTGGACAGAAGGCCTGGCTCTCAGTCTCCTCTCTAATTCATCCCAAAGGTGTTCTATCAGGTTGAGGTCAGGACTCTGCAGGTCAGTCAAGTTCATCCACACCAGACTCACCAGGACACCAGGGKTCATAACCCCCACCCCTACCTCCCCCAACAAATTACACTTATGAGCAGAACAAGAAGTTGCAGCACTCACCTTATGATAAGAATTGACAGACAAATCTCGTGAAAATAAAAACATGTTATCTTTCGTTATCATCTGTCCAGTCTTTAACGGGATATTTTGTTCTACCTTTGACAGCAGGCAACAATGACACAAAAAGTTATTGTGGTTATTAAAAAAAGGCCTCASTTTCATCAATTTAGTGGTAAAGATTACAGAGTGGGAAACAGRTGGTATGGAGTTTGGAGAGCAAAAACAGTAAAATCAGACTTTAAAGATCGGCATAAAAAGCTCACTTTATATCATAGCCTACATTGAGGGTGTTTGTTTCATTCTTTGCTTGTTTGGAGCTGTTTCATGTCCCCAACCTGCAGCGACAGTGATGCCTCTCTCGACTTGCTCAGCCTCAGCTGGTGCCGGAGCAGGAAGGCACGAGTGTCATGTGGTCTGAAAGCTCCAGCTGTGGAGAAGAGGCTCATCTGATCTCAGTGAGCTCAGCAGCGCAGGCAGACTGTCCACGCTCAAGAAAGGAGGAGCTGAGTGTGTGTGTGTGTGTGTGTGTGTGTGTGTGTGTGTGTGCAGGGTTTATTGAGATTTCCAACAGTTCACTGTTCATCTTGTTTGGGCTTCTTTTCTGTGTAACACTGAGTTCAACTAGAGAAATGCATTTTCTGTGAAAATCCTGTGTGATTGCTGAAAGTTGATGAAGAAGCTAAAGAGTTGTTAAAGTTAAAACCAAGCAGGACAGAGGCCAAAATGAGCAGAAGCTAAAACATCTAAACAGTAGCCAAAAGCTAAAAGTAACAAAACATAAGCTAAACCTAAAATAAAGAATAGCTTATGTTTTTAGAAAAAAATMACTATAACTTAAATCTAATAAGAGCAGAATGGAAGTTAAAAGCTAAAATAAGTTGATACTTTTAGGTGAAAGTCTTGCCTGGAAAAAATAAGGCTACTTTAGAAATCCTGTAAGGTACTTGTTTATTTATTATAATGAAAACTAAAAGCATCAGAATTGCGGTTAAAAGCTAAACAAAGCAAAACGGTGAATAAAACTTAAAAACAGCAAAATGGTAAGTAAAGGCATGAAAGCTGAAAGTAACAAAATGGCAGCTAAAAGCTAAAAGGACTAACACAGTAGCTTAAAGACAGAACAGTAGCTAAAAGTTGCTTTCAAAGACAGAAACAAAGCAAAAACACTAGTTTTTAGTGTTTTKAMATAAATTGAAGARATGTATTTTATGGGGATTGGTAATRAAGGTCTTTTWWAAAGTATTAAGTAAGTAAAAACACCKAAACATCAAAGCATACTCCTGATCCAGCAGAATATTTGCTATATGATATGGATATTATGCTAAATGCAGAAGCAGTTTGCAAAAATGTATATAATAAAATAAAAATAGGAAAACTGAAAGCTGACTCAGCATTTTCTAGAAGAATATTATTTTTGGTTTGTGCTGTTTTGTTTGGTATATCACCAACTCAGCATCAAAACTCATTATTATTTATGTTTTTACTATCAACAGTTAAAAAAAACAGAAGTTTCAAATTTCCTTTTTGCTGTGAGCCACGTTTAATTTATCTTTGTTTGGGTGAAAGAAAAACACTAGAGGCAGAACAGAATAAAACATTTTTAGAATGATCTGGTTGACAGGTTAATGCAGCTTTACATTTCAGCATCACTCAAGCAAAGGAGTGGTGACAAAGGGAGGCAGCTCTGTTTGCAGCTGATTACATAACAACCAACAGCAGATGGTGACATGGTGCAAAGTCAACTGACTTCATTTTAGTTAGAAATGTTTCGCATCTCATTGTATACGAGGTTGTACGGTTGCCTGATTCTTGTAAACACAGCTTTAAAATTATTGAGTTTTGCTTCGTTAATAAACATAAAATTAAAATCAAAATTTTGCATCTTTAGAAAACACAGTTTTGTAAGCCAATAAGATCCCTTGATACTCAATGTTGATCACGTGGTACAAAACTTCTAATTCCYATTGGCTGATTCAATTTGACGAGTTCCGGTTTTTTTCCAAGACGTAGAAATTAGATCCGCCAAACTATACGGGTTTTAAGTAATATCAGTATTTTTTACATCGTTCCTTTTTAAAATTGTAACAAGAGTACAGAATGACGTTATTCAGCATGCATTTTACAAAAGTTTTTAAAGCGTAGTTTACGAGCGTATTTGGCTCCTCCGCGGAGGGATACAAACGCGTGTCTCGTAGCCGAAGAAGAGGGTGATTTGAATCCCCTTTTCTTTTGCTTCAGTTCTTTTCGTTTGTGAAATTACAAGTAGCTTTTTTAAATTTCATTTTATTCACGTTTTAATCTGAATATACAAGGTAAGAGTTTGTCCTGCAATCATTCCCTTATATTTAACACCAGTACTGTGTGTGTTACAAACCGAGAGCCATGTTTTGTTTGTTTTGTAGTCAACCAACAACAACGACCATTTTCTTTCCTAGTTTCTCGACAGTAGAAACAACAACATGCACACCTTTCTCGTAGCTACTATGTCAGGAGTGTGTTAGTAAAATGTTAGAGCTCGGTGTGCTTCCTATTTTTGCTAGCATACTGTCAAGCATTTTTCCTAGAGTACGGAAAAACCCACAAGACGCGAGCTCACAGGCTTAATGAAAAAGATGGAGTCATTTCACCTCATCTTACTTAGTGTACGAGGTTACAGTAAAGTCGTGTTTGATTAAATGCATTGTGCTCCATCATAATCTTTAGAACAAATGATCAAAATCTCTGTATCCCACTTTTGGGTCACGTGMTTTTGAGATAATATGACGCATTTTTGTTTATGTCCAGACAGATGGCTGCAGTGGAGTCGGTCCCAACTGAGGAAGATCAGAAGGGGAGAGTGTGTCCTTCAGAAGAGGGTGGTGTGTTAAATCAAACCTCAGCCCCCATTGATTTTTCTGAACTCACCTCAAGTCAGTTTGGCATCTCTATCCAGAGTTTTACMCCAGCACCATCATCACCACATAAAGGTAATGTGCCAAAGTTCCACTGTTAGAGCGTAAGAAAGGACTGTCTATTGTTTTTAAACTATAGTGCTATTTTTTTATTGTTGTATGTCATTACCAAGTCATTAAAAGTGCAGCCCGTTTATTTTTTTGTGATCACCTAATTTAGGAAGAAATGTGATTCTGTGTGCTGTAGAAGTGCCTCACACAAGCAGCTCAAAGTAGAATAAAGTCTTACCTAGGGCTGCCACGATTAATCGATTATTAAAATAATCGATGATTAATTTAATAATCGATTAATCTTTTTGTTCTTTACTTTGTTTTTCTCTCCAAACTGCTTTGACACCTTCCTCTGCCACGTCTGCCTTTCTGTCCTTGACACACATGCACAGTAGTGGTAACTGGGGTAGGCCGTGGACGTCACAAGACACTATAC